ATCTTGTTTTCTGTTCCTGTGTTAATTTGTTTACAATAATGGCTTCCAGCTCCATCTATTTTGCTGCAAAAGACAGGATGTCATTCTTTTTTGTGGCCACATAGTATTCCATGGTATATATGTACTACATTTTCTTTATCCAGTCCATCATTGAGGGGTATTTAGGTTGATTCCATGTCTTTGCTATTGTGGAATAGTGCTGCAGTGAACATATGTGTACATGTGTCTTTATGGTTGAATGATTTATATTCCTTTGCGTTTATACCCAGTAATGGGATTGCTGGGTCAAATAGCAATTCTGTTTTACATTCAAGAAATCTCCAAATTGCTTTCCACAGTAGCTGAACTAATTTACATTCCCACCAGCAGTGTATATGCATTCCCCTTTCTCTGCAACCTTGCCAGTATCTGTTATTTCTCTTTTACTTTTGAATAATAGGCATTCTGACTGGTATGAGATGATATCCCACTGTAGTTTTGATTTGTATTTCTTTAATGATTAGTGATGTTGGGCATTTTTTCCCTTGAATTTGTTGGTCACGTGTATGTCTTCTTTTGAGAAGTGTCTGTTCATGTCATTTGCCCATTTTTTAATGGAATTGTTTGTTTTTTTGCTTGTTGAATTGTTTAAGTTCCTTATAGATTCTGGATATTAGACTTTTGTCAGGTGCATAATTTGCAAATATTTTCTCCCATTCTGTAGATTGGCTGTTTACTCTATTGATAGTTTCTTTTGCTGTGCAGAAGCTCCTTAGTTTAATTAGGTCCCACTTGTCAATTTTTATTTTTGCTGCAGTTGCCTTTGGAGTCTTCATCATGAAATCTTTGCCAGGACCTATGTCCAGTATGGTATTTTCTATGTTTTCTTCTAGGGTTTTTATAGTTTTAGGTTTTATATTTAAGTCTTTACTCCATCTTGAGTTGATTTTTGTACAGAGTGAAAGGAAGGAATCCAGTTTTAAACTTCCGCATATGGCTAACCAATTGTCCCAGCATCATTTATTGAATAGGGAGTCCTTTCCCCATTGCTTGTTTTTGTCAACTTTGTTGAAGATCAGATGGCTGTAGGTGTGTGGCTTTATTTCTGGATTTTCTGACTGGTTCCATTGGTTTCTGTGTCTGTTTCTGTATGGGCATAAGTCTTAATGAATTCCAAGATGGAATGAATAAAGTTATGTTGGGTTCAGAGTCATATAGGAGGTACTTTTATACACATATGTTTGAGATTTGGAAATTTTTTTCTCTAACTTAGTGTTATGGATTCTTAGAAGTTCGATAATGAAGGAACCTACTTAACCTTTTCTAACCCTGCATTCCCCCCACCCAGTTTGAATTCTGAGTCCTGTTTATGAATATCCTGTGGCATCATGAAAATACTGCTTTACTGAAGTGTGTGCATTTTCAAAAACAAATTCTCTCTGAAGTTAATTGTTAAAGATTTGTTTCAGGTCTATCCAGGTGCTCAACTTTGTCATTAAAGTTATTGATACTGGAAAAATAATATCCAGGGATCTGGGTAGGTTGTGTGTGATATTGTTTGAATGGATCTCTGTGTAATTCCTTACTCTGCCGGAGAAAAGTAGAATAGGAAAGACATTTTGGCTTTAGAGACCTGAGAAACAGTAGGGTACAATGTGAGGTCTCAAGTTCTGTCTTGTCTCTGTGGCCAGGGCTCCTTTTCTTTAAAACAGCACTCTACCTTCTCTCGACACTGGAGGCCGCCCACAATCTCTTTCATGTCTTTGCCTCCCCTGTAGGTGAGGGAAAGTCAGATCTTAGGCATAGTTCCCTGGAAGTCTTCTTATAATTCGTATCATTCTTGATGTTCAGGAGGCTTCACCGTTGGATAGACTTCTGTAACTCTAGCATTTCCAACTCCTAGAACTAATACCCCTGCAGACTACTATAATACCCACACACACACACGCACACACACACGTTTTTTCCCGGTAGAATCAGTACCAGGAACATAGCTTGGTATACGATATCAATATATCAGTAAGACGTAAACATGCATGAATAAACGTTGTCTATTTTAAGTTTTATGAATTAAAGCCTCATGATATTCTCACACCTGTTCTTCCCTCCTTCCCCCTCTTCTTGGATCTGCCAAAATGTTTTTATCCTACCCTTTGTCTGCCATTAGACATGAAACCCTTAAGGTCATAGGCTAGGCCCAGAAAAACTAATATTTATGAGATTTGAAGGCCAATTTTTAAAAACTTTTTAAAAACAATAATATAGCCCAGATGTTCCAATACCTCTAGATTTAGGTTACCTTGAGTACTTGCCCAAGCCCCTGCAAATGTGAAGTGCTTCCTAAAATTTCTGCATATTCTGTGGCCATCTCTGTGATATTCTCTGTGGGCTGTTTCTAATCCAAACTATATAATTCCAGACATGAAACTTTATTCCTCCTTGACTCACACACAACACACACATACATGAATGCATGTAACATGCATGTTCTGTTCATACATGCATTTGGTAATGTAGGAGACTTTACTGAAGGTTTGAGGGCAAGACAGATCAACATTGTAGACATGTGACTTCAAACCGAGCATTAGGCATCTCCGTTCTTAAACTGCTTTTTAGGTGCCCTGACTCTGGGGAATTTCCACTGACTTCTTCCCACAGACTCCTCTGCTTTGCTCCATTTTGGGGTTCCTTTTTTCTTCCTTTCTCTGTCATTTCTTTTTTGGAAAATATTAAATGTTACCTTTTTTTTTTTTTTTTTCTCATTCAGGGCACTCTAAACCATTCTTTGATGATAGAGCTCATGATAATATTGATGTCCTTAGGTTCGCTCTCTTCCTTTACTTCCAAATGATCTATTTCTCCTGCACAGCTCCCAGACAGTTCCCTCTCTAAGAGAAAATCAGGTACAGCAGTTGAGATAATAATATGTTTGCCTCATTACATTTTGTTTTGAATTTTCAATTCAACATTAAAAGGAATGTGCAGTGTTGATGAAAGGAGTCAAACTCTGTAAAATATTGGAAGAGATTTATTCTGAGCCCAATACAAGTGAACATGGCCTGTGGTACAGCCCTCAGGAGATCTTGAGAACATGTGCCCAAAGTGGTTGGACCACAGCTTGGATTTATACACTTTAGAGAGACATGAGATATCAGTCAGATACATTTATAGAAACACATTGTTTCTATCCAGAAAAGCAGGACAACTTGAAGTGGGGGATGGGGGGCTTCCAGGTTATAGGTAGATTTAAACATTTTCTGATTGGCAATTCGTTCAAAGAGTTATTATCAATAGAAAGGAATATCTGGGTTATGATAAGGAGTTGTGGAGACCAGTTTTATCATGCAAATGCAGCTTCCAGGTAGTAAGCTTCAGAGAGAATAGATTGTACATTTGTAAATGTTTCTTATCAGACTTAAGGTCTGTGTTGATGTTAAATGCTGGTCAGCTTTTCCTGAATTCCAAAAGGGAGAAGGGCATAATGAGGCATGTCTGACCCCTTCTTCCTGTCATGATGTGAACCAGTCTTTCAGGTTAACTTTGGAGTGCCCTGTCCAAGAGGAGGAGTCCATTCAGATGATTGAGGGACCCTTAGAATTTTATTTTTTGTTTACAGCAGTCATCTTTTTTTTTTAAGCCATAGTTTAATGGTCTTTTAATGCTAGTTTTTCTTTACTCTTGGGAAGGGACATATCTAATACTCATTATCACAAACTGAATCACCTGCATTATCATTGCCTAAAAAGATATCTTACCTAAAGACAAAGTCTGATCAGTAGGTTTGTAGCCTACTTTGAGGGACTTTGCACACTAACCCTGAAACCAGCCCAATTGTCCCATACAAAAGATATTTATGGATTTTTAAATGAACACAGAAATTGACACTCTGTCTTAAAACCTGAAACTTACATTTGTCTTAACTGAGTTCCTTCCTCAGGAAACTGACTCTTGGGCAAAAGACTGAAGCCCACTAGATCACCCATCCAGACAACAAGATGCCTGGCCCCTCATTCATCATGATGGCTTCCTTACCCTCCCTAATTCCTATTTTCTCACCTTACCAACTCTTCTTCCTTACCCTTCTCTAATTCCTATTCTCCCTCCCTTCCACTATATATAAAACCTCCCAATTTTAGGCATTTGGGGAGATGGATTTGAGACTTTACCTCCCATTTTTCTTGGCTGCAGCATTCAGTTAAAGCCTTCTTCCCTGGCAATGCTCAGTGACTCGGTGATCGATGTTCTGTGCAGCAAGCACCAGGACCTGACTGAACCCTGGGGGTTTCAGTGACAAGCTACATGTGAACCCTGAGCTTCATGTAACCTTGGGGCTGCATTTTCCAGTAGGAAAGCGTTTCTAGATATATTGGCTCTGAGACTTTTCCTAGCTTCCTAGGCACTTGGTCTACTTATATTGGAGCCCAGGAACTGCTATAATCCATGAACTGTAAATGGAAACTTTTTATAAGATGTTCTCAAGTTTTGGTATTATCTGAGGATGAACACCTCTAAGTTTATCTAAAAATTTGTATTATTTCAAGATGGAAGTCCCCTTATTGAGATATTATCAAACACAAAGCTGATTCATTTCAAACATTTTAGAAGGAACATTAGAATTATTAGAAGTCTGTAACGTGCTTCTCTTATGATGAAGATGATAGGAACTAAGAAAATGAGATGTGGAACGTTTTATATTTTTGACAAGAAGATGAAGCAAAGAGGGTGGTCATAAACAAAGAGGGAGACAGGATTCTTTGTACATTTTTAAAGTTGTTGACTTTTGTGCCTGACCTTAGTGGTTTCTACTTTCATTTACTATTGACAAGTCCACAGTTCTACTTCATGCATCTGAGGATATCCTGAGATTTCCTTGTTGAAGAATTACATTGTTTCTTCTCAAGAAAAACTCCTAGTTCATTTACATGTAACAAGTTTTCATAGGAGATCCTAACCATGATGGTTTGCTTTTGCATCTTTATCTTACTATAGCATTTAATCAGAACTTCTGGGATTTGGGGGGAGCCTGTTTTACCAAACTTCTCCAAAATCCTCACTCAACTTTAATTGTTTTTTATCTGCATTACGCTCATTTTGATGTGTTGCATGTTTTACTTTGCATGACCAGTCTTTGGGCAAGTCATTGCCTTTCTTAAGGCTCCCTTCACCTCCTTGTTTCTAATGGTATAAATAAAGGGAGTCAGAAGCGGGGTGAGGATAGTATTTAGCACAGACACCACCTTATTAATCTTAAAGGAGGAGTGTGCTGTAGGTCTTAGGTACATGAACAGAACAGCCCCATAGAGCAGGGATACAACTGTCAGGTGCGAGGCACAGGTAGAGAAGGCCTTCTGGCGGCCCGTGGCTGAAGGAATCCGTAGGATTGTGAACAGAATGTAGATATAAGAAATCATATTAAAGAGAAGTGACCCTGGGATCACAAGGACAGTTGCCAGGACACCCAGGAGTTCCAAAATGCTGGTGTCTATGCAGGCGGCTTTCAAAATGGGTCCAACATCACAGTAGAAATGATTGATAACATTATTGCCGCAGAACGGCAACTGGATGAGCAGCATCATCTGACAAAAGACAGTGGTGAAGCCCACCACCCAGGAGCTCAGGGCCAGCTGCAGGCAGAGTTTGCTGGTCATGATGGTGGGGTAGCGAAGGGGCTTGCAGATGGCCAGGTAGCGGTCAAAAGACATGATAGTGAGGATCGAGAACTCGGTGGTGCCCAGGAAGAAGTGGAAGAAGGCCTGCAGCAGGCAGCAGGAAATGCAGATTACCGTTCTTACCACTACAAAGGTTTCTAGCAGTTTGGGGATGACTGTGGTGGTGTACCAGATCTCTAGGAAAGACAAATTACAAAGGAAGAAGTACATTGGAATCTGTAGCCTGGGCACAGCCCACACAATGGCAATAATAAGCCCATTGCCTGTAAGGGTTAATATGTAGATGAGAAATATTGCTATAAAGAGAGGTGTTTGTAGGCCTTGGATAACAGGAAAGCCTAGGAGGATGAATTCTGTGATTACCGTCCCATTTCTCATGTCCCTTGATACCCTAGAAAGACAAGCAAGAAAGCTCCTGAGAATCTTAGAGCACAGTTGATTATAGTTGGGACAAAAAATAAGGAGGATTCTGACTATGTCAGGTCCTCCCTCATCCACATATAAATACACACTGGCCAATCCTTCTTTACTGACGACTTGGCTGGTTCTTTTGTCAGCAAAACCAGCTTCTAATGGACTTTGAATGTATTAAATACACTTCATGAATGCAAAGTATTTTTTCACCCTTATACAACTCTGAGAATAATCATGTTAAATGTGGTTGCTTGTTGTCAATTATTCATATGACTATTTTAAATGCATAGTGTATATAACAATGTATGTACATACACATGGCTGTGAGTTCATAAGAAATTAATCCCTACTCTCAGAGTCTGAAAAATAGTTACTGATTATGTTACAGATACATTTAAGGAAGCCATTATTGTGTGTGGGTGTGAGTGTGTTTATTGAAATAGCCTCAAATCATTGCTATTATATTAGTGGTGAGATACAAGTTAGATAACAGAACAGGTGTTTTTCTAAAAATCCACTTCCATATTCTAGTTCAGACTCCTTTGTTAAAGGAATCAAAAATAACATTTAAAACTAAATGAATAAAACTGTTTAGGAAGTAGAGAGATATATTCAACTCAAATTCAAAATTTCAGAATGAGCTGGGTCAAAGCCTGTTACGTGGAAGTACCTAATAAATGTATATGGGATAAAGATCTGCAGACACTAATCTCCAAAAGTGAAAGGTTAGCAAATGCTAAGGATAACAAAATGGGAACTCTGAAAAGTACATTTTTGTCAAAACTTTTTTTGTGACTAAATGTCTTTTTATACCAAGTAAAGTATTTCTATTTGTATATGTAAATTCATAGGCTGAGAACATCCTTTCTGTTCTACTAAAATTCAGCAGAAAATAGTAAAACTACTTCCTTTCTTATTGAGGCTAGTCTTCCATATGGGTTTCCTTTGAAATGGGTAAGATAAATTACCGTGAAATGAATTTCACAATTTTCAAAGTGCGTGAGAAACTTAGCATGAAGGAGGCAACTTACAGGTCATTGATAGGTTGTTTCATTCTTCCCTCTTGTGAGATAACTGTAATTCTCTGAGGGCTTGCTTAGGGAAGAAAAACACTTCCATTTTCTCCCACCTCTTTTCTAGACAAGGAAAAGATTCTTTGTCTACAATGTCGCAAGCTCTAGTGCGTTTCCACAAAACGATGAGAGACAGAGAAGTATTTGAATTTGCACTAATGGCCAATATAACTGGCTGCGAACCTGGTCTCTTTCTATAGGATAGGTATGGAATTATCTTCATTCCCCATGCAGAGAAGAGTGGCAATCTCTATAGCTCAATATCATATTTCCAAGGGCTTCACATTCTACCATTTGGAGAATTAGACCTATGAATTCCACAAGCATTTGTTGAGAGCTTACTATGCTTCAAGTCCTGCTAGGCAATTAAAGAGCTTATCAGATAGATAGATAGGCAGATAGATAGATAGATAGATAGATAGATAGAGATAGATAGATAGATAGATAGATAGATTAGATAGATAGATAGATAGATAGATAGATAGATAGATAGATAGATACTATATATAGTATAATAATTACAACATGACTCAGTGAGGGAAAGTGTAGAGTTGTGCACAGATTGTTTTAAGAACACTTAGAAGGGACTCTTCACCCATCTTTAGCAGGGGTTAAGGAAGTTTTTCTAAACAAGGAGAGGACTAAGCTGAATCCTAGAGTTCAATAGGAAAAGAAAGTGGAGTAAGGAGAGAGGGGGAATGCATTCCAGACAAGGATTCAGTTTTTGTGAAACAGAACCAGAGCAGAGAATTTCACTTGAGCTGGAGCTGGGAGTCAGACTTGTCCTGGTACTTATGATAAATTAACACTTAGGACAGTTTACATGAGAGATTCATGAAGCTTTTGGAGCAAAGAATCTTGAGTCAGGGAGTTTGCAAGTGTGTGTGTGTGTGTGTGTGTGTGTGTGAGAAGTATGGTGTCAGCCATTCTCTGTAACACATGTACATGTGGATCTAAGCTTTATGGAGGAAGGGGCTGCTGGTGGTATCTGCATGACCTCTTTTGAGATTCTGGTCACAGACAGCACTGCTGTGGCATCCAGGTGACCACGTGGGGCACATACAGGGGACAGACGTACTCTCTGCTTTTGTCAGGAACATGGCTTGTTTTGGTAGCATGAGGGTCCGAGAATAGCAGCAGCAGTGGCAGCAGAAATGATACCAGCAAAAGTGGCAGTGCCTGGCAAGGGGAGTGGTCCTCAGCAGAAGGAATGCTGAGAAGGTAGAAGTGGCAGGAATGAGGAATCAGGCAGTAGCTGTCCTGACAGCTGCATAGACTGGGTTTTGAGCACATGTGAAGTTTTGTGAGATGTGGAGGGAGGTGGGGATGTCTCAAGTTAGCAGGTAAAAGCAATATTCAGAGAAACACGGGAAAGCAGCCCCAGGAACCTAAAGTTATAGAGCTAAGATACTGGATTAAACACTGCCGTCTATATGCCTATTACATTTCAATCCTACACTCTAGACTTTTTTTTTTCTTCCTTTAAAAAAGTCACAATGTATAGGGTCAAATGGATTCATGCATATCCACCAGGGTCCAAGTCACCAGCTCCTGTTAACTTTACTTCTTACTCACTCTCTAGTGTGTGTCCTTCTTTCCATCTCTCCTTGGCTCCAGTAAATCATGCTGTCATCTCCCATCAGGATTCGAACACAGCCTCCTAACAGGACTCCCTGTCTCCTGACTTGCTATGCTCTTTCCTACCCATGGTTCAAACTGTAGCAAGGGGGACCATTCTAATTCTGACTATGCCACTCCTCAGAACCTTGAAGTTAACATCTCAGACTCCTCAGCATGACATTTAAGACCACTGATGATCTTGTCTTACCTACCTTTCCAGCATGATTTTCTGCCATTTGTCATTTTTTTCTTCTGCCTTCCTTCTTCTATGCTCCACACTTACTGAATTACTCAGGTTTAGAGGTTAGCAAACTACAACCCTGTTTTTGTAAAGTTTCACTAATACATAGCCACACTCATCTGTTTACCTATTGCCTGTGGCTGCTTTTGTGCTATAATGGTGAAGTTTAATAATTGTGACAGTGACCATATGACCCCCAAAGTCTAAAATGTTTACTCTCTGGCCCTTTACAGAAACAGCTGGCTGACTCCAGCTCTAGTTCCCCAATTATGCCTTCTTCTTTCTTGCCTCCCAGTCATTGCCCACGCTGTTCTCTTCACCAGAAGTACTCTTCCTGACTTTCTCCATTATTTGGCTAAGTCTTGTCTGAATTCTAAATTTAAGTTCAGGAGCCACCTCCATGGGAAGCCTTCCTTAACTTACCATCTCTAATCCAGTTAAGGTGCTGCTCCTACACACTTTCCTAATGCTCTGTGCATATCTATACCTGAATACTTTGTAGAATTGTGTTTATTGTTTGCTTAGCTTCTGCTATAGACTCTAAGCCCCTTGCAGGCAGCAATAGTATCTGCAGGGCTGAAGCATAGGGCTTGACACAAAATAAGCTCTCAAAATATATTTTCTAAATGATTATATAAATGGATAGCTTGTTGACACTCTATCCCCAGTTACCTAGAAGTTTGTGGAAACTGACACATGCACATGTTTATACATGTCACCGTTTCCTGTATTTCAGATGCTCAAGTCATATGATGACAGGGACTCTTTGCTAAATAATTTGTCTCCAAGTTTGCTGCTGCTTCCAGCTTTTTCTGATGTGAGTTTTGCTGCATGAAAACTTTTCTGCTCCATCTTTCCCTAATCAAGGATATGCTGGTGTTTTTTTTTCGTTTTTACTGTGTTCTGGTTCTTTTCCCAGCTTCTTCAGGCTGCCTGAATACAGATAACTTTCTTAACTCATTTAATGCTCAATAGCTTGAAATTGTATTGAGTCATTTTTTCCTGAGTTTTGTAGTACAATAAAGAATCCCACATTTTCTAAAACTTTTTATAGTTTTGGAAGAAGACAAAAAGAAGAAAAGTATTAACATATTTTCTTCCCTGGATAAGAGCAAAATGTTCCAAGTCTTGTTTGTTTATTTATTTGTTTGTTTTTAAATTGTTGATGAAGACCAATTTCAATTTTCAAGACTTTGATTATGGCATAAATTTGAATATGCCCAGTGGTTAGAACTCTAAAACAGAAACATTAAGCACATATAGAATAAGATTCACAAAGAGAAATAAACCAAGATTAATCACTCAGAGGACTTGTGCTAAGAACCAATTTGAAATTCATTTCGAGGACTGATGGTTCTAGGTAAGATGTGGTGAATAAAGACTGCTTTTCATTGAGGAAGATCCAAGTCCAGGTCATTGTGATGACTTTTCTGCATGATACCAAAATTGATTTATTAGGATTTACTTTAAGACTTCAAGGGGTCAAGTCTAGCCATATCAATTCATTTTAGAGAAAAGCAAAGCTTTTTCCAAACTAGTACTCTTTCGCAGTGACAAAGCAATACTTACAGCACTACTGATTTCCAGGAAAACACTTCCAGCCCTATGGTGTGTCCTTGTCCACAGTAGACTGACAGAAAAGGAGAGCTGGGTTATAAAGGCAGCATAATTGGAAGAGAAAATTTTTCTCTTTTTTTTCTGCACAGAAAATGAATCTCTTTTTCTAGACTTTAATGCAAGTGTCCTTATGCATTACTGAATTCTATTCATAAAGCTTTCATGACATGGCAAGGTTTCTTCAGCATTTAGGAGAATGGTATTGAGAGTGATTAATTCATCTGTTCATGCTAGGTCAGGATACCTTCTCTGAAAATAACAGTTTGTTAACGTGGAACATTTTCACAGGTTCCTGTGAGACATCAATCTCCATGGATTTGCTCCAGAGAGTCCCAGGAGACAGGGAAGTTCTCACTAAAAGTTTATTCATAAGTCAAGCTGAAGAATTTGTAGTTTTCTAAATTCTAATTGGTACCAATCATTCCTGCATTCCTGAGGTAATTAACCAAAGTCTGAGAATCTTTTAATTTTATAAGTTTTTAGATCTTGGATTTCTCAGTTCTCCAAGAGGGAAAATTATTGACATCTCAATAAATAATAGATAAATGGGGTGCTTTAATGAACTGAATTGAACCAAAGGTAGTCAGTTTGGTTAATAATATAAAAATGGCCATGTATTTAGAAACGTGCGAGTGAACAGAATAGAAATTGCATTCAATTTTCTTGTGAACTATCTTATGGGGATAAATGAAAAGACAGGGGCCTAAAGTATTGAGGGTCATATAGAGAGTATATAGCTATATCAATATGTCCTCGTAAATGCTGGAGTATGTGGTCTATAGACAAATAAAAATAAAAAGTAAAATGCTTAATTGTTAAAAATTAAGATAGAGACTTCTCCATTGTCTCTTTTCTTAAAACATTAACTTTAGGAAATTCATAATTATACCTTTTTTCTTTCTTTGAAATGTGTATAAATCTTTTTAGAATTGAGATAAGTTTGTGTTTCTTTTGCCAGCTTTTTGACCCAGAAATGTCTTCCTCAAGGACCTAGGAGTTGTCTCTTGGAAATGTAAACATTGAGGGTGATAGTTTCCTTATCTCCCAGTTTCTATGGGAAGGTAGAAGCCTAACTTCAGAGGTACCTTGCTTCAGGTTGTAGAACTACTTCCTGTCATAAAGATAAGATAAGATAAGTCTATTTTTCCTTCGTATAAAGCCAATTAGGTAACATGGATGATCACCCCAATTACCAGGTGAGTCTAGGATGAACTATGTGTGACAGATGGTGCTGTCAAGTCCTCTTATTCTTTATCTGGAAAACCTGTAAGTCATGAGTTATGTCTGCATGACTATATAAAAGAGTAAATTTTTTTCCTGTCTCTGAACTCTTTTAGCAGATTGCTTGTGCTGCGCATCACAGTTTGGTTTATTGCTTATTCAATAATAAAATTGTTTTATTTCTCTACTACCATTGTGGAAAGGTTTTCTGGGCTGGGATATTTTATTTTAAATTGTATTTCCTCAACAGTGGGTAATGGAAGATGTATTAGTCAGAGTTCTCAGGGAAACAGAACCAAATATATATATATTGGTTCTGTTCATATATATAAATATATATATATATATGAATGAAGTGGCTTACATGATGATTATGGAGATCTAGAAGTCCCAGTATCTGCTGTCTATAAGCTGGAGAATCAGAAAAGCTGGCTTTGTAATTCATTTCCATCCTGAAGGCTTGAGAAACAAAGAAGCTGATGGTGTAGGTGCCAGTCTGAGTCCAGAGGGCCAAGAAGCAGGAGCATCAATGTCCAAGGGCGGGAGAAGGTGGATGGGCATGCCAGCTGAAGCAGCAACAAACTACTCTTCTTCTGTCTTTTTGTTCTATTCAGGCTCTCGACAAATTAGATGATAATGCTCACCTGC